GGGCCCTGTCTTCAAAAATAGTCACATTCTGAGGTACTGGGGGAGGGAGCGGTTAGGGCCTCAACATGTGAATTTAGAGGAGATACAATTCAATCTGTAACAGAGTGGAAAAGTTGAGAAACCTGCGTTACCCCTTCCAACTCTTGACCATGACAATGATAGTGTACTAGTGTGTGCCCTTAGGCTACAACTGTGGAGAGTTGGATGTTATGTATTTCTTTCTCTAGAAAGCTCCTTAATTAATCTTCTTTTTGTATGTAATTTTCTTGATTGTTTCCTATGGGAGTGGAGCTCGAAGAAAAGGTTTATGATCTCCATTCTTTTACTTTTTTCTTTAATGCTCTCCACAATAAGGGTAGTTACCATGTGTCAGCATACAAAGTTATTACAACACTATTGATGATATTCCCCATACTGTACTTCCATCCCTGGGACTTCTTTATTTTACATCCAGAAGTCTGTATGATCCCCGTTCCTCAAGTAAGAAATTATATTCAACTTTGGAGCAACTTAAAAACAGGAACAGTTGTGCACCTACAAGTACATTTTTTTGAAGTTTATTTATTTTGAAAGAGAGAGCAGGAGAGAGGCAGAGAGAGAGGGAGAGAGAGAATCCCAAGCAGGCTCCACACTGTTAGTGCAGAGCCCTATGCAGGGCTCCAACTCACGAACCATGAGATCATGACCTGAGCAGAGATCAAGAGTCGGATACTCAACAGACTGAGCCACCCAGGTGCCCCACAAGTACATTTTTTTAAGATTTAAATTACATATTTTTTTAACTGTGGAAAATACAGAAAAGCAAAAAAGAAGAAAATGAAAATTATTTTTAATCCCACCCCTAGAGAAAATGCTACTAATATTATGCATCATGTTTCCAATCTTTTATACATATACATAATACACCATACATATGTAAATATGTAATATATATATACATTTTTACCAATAGTAAGTTTTGTGAGAATGGTTTTGTGGTCTGCTTTGTTAACCTAATATTTTCCTTTTTTTTAATTTTTTTTTTTTACGTTTATTTATTTTTGAGATAGAGACAGAGCATGAACAGGGGAGGGTCAGAGAGAGGGAGACACAGAATCCAAAGCAGGTTCCAGGCTCCGAGCTGTCAGCACAGAGCCTGACACGGGGCTTGCACTCACGGACCACGCTGAAGTCGGATGCTTAACCAACTAAGCCACCCAGGAGCCCCTAACCTAATATTTTCCATATCATTTCACATCCTCCTGACAAAAGTAATTAATCAGTTACCTAACCAACTTCAGATTTTTGGACATTTATATTGCTTCAAATTTTTGAAGTAATAAGTAACACTGTGATGAACATATTTGTAAGCATGTATGATTTTTTTCTTATGACAAATTCTTAGAGATGGAACTTTAAACCACAGGACACACAAAGTTCCAGGACTTTTGACCCAGCTGCCAAGTTATTTTCTGTGTTCCTTGTCCCAATTTACATCACTCTCCTCTGATCCCTCCTCTAGGAGACTGATGTGCCCCCATTCAAGGGACAGATTACATACAAAAAAAAAAAAAAAAAAAAAAAAAAAAAAAAAAAAAAAAAAAAAAAAAAGCTGACCAATATTAATTATAGGTCAAAATTACTGGAGTGGTTAAAAGGTTTTGCTCTTTACACATTTAGTCTTTTCTTTTGTGAATGGATTGTTGATTTGTCCATTATTTTCATTGCTTCTTTGACTTACTGACTTGTGTGTGCAGCTTATAAATATTAACCCTGCATCATATGTATTACAAATGTGTTTCAGATAATTTTCTCACTTTGCACTTGTCTTTTCAGGTGGTTCCTGATATTTTCTGGTACACACATTTGGAATATGTCTAAGGACAGTCTAGCAATCTTTAGCTTTCTGTGTGCTCTTTTTCTTGTTATGCTTATAAAGGTTTCCTTCCCTCAAACCAAGATTACATATATATTTGCCTTTATTTTCTTCAAATACTTATGGTTTCACTTAAAAAATTTTATTGTGGTAAAATTATACATAATAAAATTTACCATTCTAACTATTTTTAAGTGTACAATTCAATGGCCTCAAGTATATTCACAGTATTCTACAACCATCATCACTCTACATTTCTAGAAGTTTTTCATCATCCCAAACAGAAACTCTGTACCCATTAAACAATAATTCCCCATTTCTCCCTTCCCCAACCCCTAGTAATTTCAATTATACTTTCTTTCTCCGTGCATTTTCCTTTTCTAGATACCTCATGTAAGTGGAACTATGCAACATTTGCCCTTTGGGGTCTTGTTTATTTCACTTAGCAGAATATTTTCAAGGTTAATCCGTGTTATAGCACATATCAGAATTTTCTTCCTTTTTAAGGCTGAATAACACTCCATTGTGTATATATTATTGTTTCATTTTTATGCATTATGTTCTAATCTACATAAACACTATTTTTATACACAATATTAGGTGAATACCTAAACTAACTTACTAAATAAATAGCTTATCATGTTCCCCAATGTTTTGAAATTCTAACTTTATCTTATACTAATCACATGCATTCTCAATAAGGACAATATCACCCCAAGGAGTTCAAAATTGGTTCTTGGGATACAAAAGAAAAATCCTACTCTTTGTATATATAAATCACAGATATACATGCAGTTCATGAAGAGATTCATATTATATTTATGGTGTTAAAATTTTACAGGAGGTGATGATCAGGGGGAAAAGCCTGAAAAGGCTCCTTTAGGGATAATAACTGAAAAAAAAAAAAGTTTGAAACCCTTCCCTGTGCTACATTTCTACACTTATTTGTATGTTTTTCTGAATTTACTTTGCTCCATTTATGTGCCTGCCCCTGGACCAGAAATACTGCATTCTGTTGTTCTTATAATTCTGTTTATTTTCTTCCCAGAAAGTATGAGAATCTGAAGTCACCATGTTCATTTACTTGCTTACCTGTCTATGGCCTGTCTCCTTGGACTATGGTGACAGCCCCATGGGATCTGGGACCTTGTCCCATTCATCACTGCAGCCCTGTATTTTAAATGGTACCTGGCAGAAGGTGCCCACTAAATACTTTTTGGTTGAATCAATAAATTTGTGTACGTAGTAGGCCAAATCCTAATTGCTCTTTTTCTTCAAAATTTTGGCTATTCTTGGGGCACCTGGGTGGCTCAGTCGGTTAAGCGTCTGACTTCGGCTCAGGTCACGATCTCACGGTTCATGCGTTTGAGCCCCACATTGGGCTCTGTGCTGACAGCTTGGAGCCTGGACCCTGCTTCTGATTCTGTCCCTCCCTCTCTCTCTGCCCCTCCCCTGCTCATGCTGTCTCTCTGTCTCTCACAAATAAATAAATGTAAAAAAAAAAATTAAAAAAAATTTTTTTGGCTATTCTCACCTGCTCACTCTTGGAAATAAGGTTCAGAATCATTCTAATAAGCTATACAAAATTAAAATGCTACCAACCGTCCCCACCCCCCAGAAGGTGGAGCTTCTTGTGGTAGAGACTTAGGGACTCTATTCCAAGGAACAGAGTGTTGAAAGGGGAAAATGGTAACTTTGTAGCCAAGGAATCTGGCAGAAACCATCTTAACCAAGGGACAGAAGTTACCATCACCATGTGTGTATCACATAGTTGGATATTAGGTGATGAGAGAGGCACTTCCCCTCTGTCCTGGTCTCCTTCAAAACCTATCACCCCCCTCTCATCATGAGAAAACACCAGACAAACCCAAATTCACAGTATTCTACAAAATAGTTGACTAATACCCTTCAAAACTGTCAGGTCATAAAAAACAAGGAAAAACTGAAGTATGTCATAGTTCACAGGAGACTAAGGAAACATGATGAGCAAATGTGGAATCCTGGATTAGCTCCTGTAACATTAGTGGGAAGACCTCTTTGGTTTTTCAGATGTAAGGCATATATTTGAAATTATTATAATTATTCCTTCGAATATCTATCATTATTTAGCTAGAAAATCTAGAACAAGATGTCTGATTTATCTTAAGAAATTTTGAAACATTATTTCCATAATAATAGTGTTAAACTTCAGAAATGATGTTGAATTTGATCAAATACCTTTTTAGAAAATATTAAGATGCTCATATTTTTTGCACTGCAGGTGTAATTTTTTTATTGTTATTAAAATATCCCTGTATCCCTAAAATAACTCCTTCTAGGTGTAGTATATAATTCTTCGTAAAATACTAGAATTGATTTGTAAATATTTTATTTAGGATTTTAGCATCATTATTTAGCAGCAGCCAAGCCTGATCGCCCTACACAATGCGACCAGAGCCGCTGGGTGGTGAGTGGAAGTTGGGAACAGTACCGGGGTAAGCCGGGAAAGTCAGCTGGGAGTCACCGCGGCGCTAAAGTAACGCGGGATACAAGCCTGCGGAAGGAGCCCTAGACCTAGAGCGCCCGGGGCTGCACCGGAAGTGACGTCACCGAGCCGGCGTCCCTCTCAGCCAATGGCCCCGGAATGCGCCGTCCGACGGTAACCCGCGCGGCACCTGCGGGGTAAAGGCGGACTGCCCATAAGACGCAAGAAGAACCATCCTTCCACCTTATTACACGAGTTGCCAAGGCAGTCTAGTCAGAGACGAGCATCTCTTCCCGCTTCCCTGCCGCCAGTTAACTTTGCTCAGTGTCACCGTGTTTTCAACCTGAGGGCCCCCTCACGCCCTGCAGCTGCCTCACTAAATATGGCTGACTGGCGGAGCGTGAAAGCCGGAAGCGGGTGGGATGGGAAGAGCCGGCCGAGGGCGTGTCGGGGTGTGGCCTGGCTGCGGAGAGCTTGGGAGGGGCGTGGTCATCGCCCCACCTGGGTTCGCCGTCAAAGGTTAACTGTAGCCATCCGCATTCCTGCGGTCTACTGGGGGGCGCGTCACCAGTGGCCCCGCCCCCGCCCAGATTTCTCGCTCTCGGGAGGTACCCGCTGAGTCTCTGGGATTTGGCCAGAGTTGGCTGCGGACTTCCAGTGCCTCGACGGTCTTTAGTGGAGATGGAGGGCGCCCAGGAGAACCCCGCAGAGTCTAGCTCCTCGGTCCTCAGGTCCGAAGAGCCTGCCAGGGGCCCCGAGGTGTTGCCTCCGGAGGAGTCGAAGAGCTGCTCCCGTTCCCTGGAGGCGGCCCCCAAGAAACTCTGTGGTTATTTAAATAAATTTGGCGGCAAAGGGCCCATCCGGGGTTGGAAATCCCGCTGGTTCTTCTACGACGAGAAGAAACGTCGCCTGTATTATTCACGGACCGCGCAGGATGCCAATCCCTTGGACAGCATCGACCTCTCCAGTGCGGTCTTTGACTGCAAGGCAGACGCCGAGGAGGGGACTTTTGAAATCAAGACTCCCAGCCGGATTATTACCCTGAAGGTAAATGGGGCAGGTTTTTTTTTTCCTTTTAAAGCCGGGATGAGTTCCCAGGGCACAGCCTGGCACGTGTGGGTGGTCACAGTAAATTTACTGGAACGAGTATTACAGACTCTGATCTCCCCCAGTGAACCGTGGGTGCCCAGGATTTAGTGCATTCCAAGATGCATTTGCACCCATGTTCTCATTGAGCTCCCATAACAGGCAGGAATGATGTACCCACATTAGAATCAAGAAACAGAGTCTTGGAGAGATGAAGTAACCAGCCAGTTACTTAAGAGGTCAGGCATCTAGTGAGTGGTGTAACCCACACTTGAAATCCCTTAGTCTTTGTACCTCTCAGTACTGTTTCAAAACTTTTACTTTTTGGTGTGCCTTAACAATGCAGTTACATTAACTTTCTTACTTGGGGCCGAAGGATAGTAAAGATATGAGCTGTGCAGTCCTCTCAAGACCAGGACTCTGAATCACTTTTCTTGATATTTTGGCGGAGGGAATTGAATGCTGAGCAAACATTGGCAGGGATTGGGAGATAAAATACTTAGGTTTCACTGATCAGCCTAGAATGTTCATAGAGGCTTATCTCAATGTGTTTCACCATTAGTAGGTTTTGTTTTATTATCATCTTTAACTGAGAATGCCTGAAACAGTGGTAAGGCAACATGCTTTGAAATCAGACAGGCTTGGATTCAAATTTTACATCAGCTACTATTAACTAGCTGTGTAACCCTGGGCTAGTTACTTAATCTCCCAGAATCTAGGTAGTTTGTGAGATTTAAAACAAGATATGTAAACATCCAGGACCTACAAATTGTTGAATTAATCCCAGCATCTAGAATACAGCCTAGCACCGAGTGGGTGCTCCATAAATGTTTGTTTAATGAACCCACATGGTAATAGAACTGAGGCCCTAATGTTCATTTCCGGAGGAGTTGCCCCAGAACTTAAGTGGAAAGACAGATCTGGGTTAAGAATTCCAAGATTCACATGCCCCAGAGAAGAGTGTGCCAGGAGACAGCCTCCCCAACCCCACCCCGTCTTCCTGCTCCTCGACCCCCACTTCCAGCCAACTGGAAATCTACTGAGCGCCCTGTATGTAGCCCACAGCTTCAGTTCCCCTTTAATGGCTGGGCCTGGCCAGTGACCAGGCTGGGAAAATCAGACAAAATAATGCAAACCAGGAATTCCAGGCCAGGGAAGGCAGGCATTTTAGAGATCAGGTGGTTTACGGGTCATGTGTTTCCTCCCACAGGCTAACTGCTGTCTACAGAGTCTTGAACACATGGCTTTTACTGTTCCATTGATCTATGTGTGTGCCTGGCTCGGTGCTAAGCACCAGGGTATGGAGCCAAATCAGACCTGCCCCCTGGTTCTCAAACAGCTTAAGGTCTGGTGAGAGAACTCACAGGGGGCCTGGCACACACATGAAATGTTCCTTAGAGATGCCCTGATAAGTCTGTACCAGACAAGTATGGTGAACAGGAGGGTCAGTTCCACTGAGTGGAAGGGTCCATCCAGGAGCGCAGCACAGAGGGGATGACATCTGAGTCCTGAAAAAGGGATTCGGTTTTCTATGAACAGACAAGAGGAAGAAGGGCATTCCTGGCCGAGAGAGCCCCAGGAGCAAAGACAAGAAACAGGATACAGCCCAGAGTGTCCAGGCAGATCACAGGAGCCTGGGGTACAGAGGGGCCCAAAAGATGGAGTGGGAGAGTGGAGGCCCAAGTGTGGAGCATTTGTGAGGTAGGCCTGGGAGCTTGGACTTTGTCCTGTGGGTTGTGGGAGATTGTTGAGGAACTTTAAGCAAGGAAGCCCTGCGAGATTAGAATGTTTAGAAGGTTCAGTGTGGCTGTTGGGTAGAGAAAAAATGAGAAGGCAAGGTTGCTGAGCAGGGAGTCCATCTGGAGGTAATTGAGAGAGAATGGTGGCTGAGCTAGAGCTGTGACAGGGGAGGAAGACCGATGGGGGTGACTAGGGATATGAGGGAGGAGGAACGCAAGGGAGGGGTGGCTGACTGCTTAGTCGGGCCAGCCACGACCTAGGGAACCCAGGCTGGGGAGGCCTTAGGACACCCCTTTGGTAGACTCTTAAGTTCTAAGAGGATGGGGCCATGACATGAATAGTAGGTGCTCAATATACACTTGTCCAGTGAATTACTAAAATGAGGTATTTGGGTATGGGCTGGGAGCTTGTCAGCACAGGGTCATGGTGAAGCCCTGGGTAGCACTGAGGTCTCTTAGGGAGAGTGTATGGAAAGAGAAGACTGGTAGGCATCATTTTATCTCATGTGGCACCTCCTGACAGGCCCAGGTCCTCTCTCATGGAGCCCCTGGCCTCATGCACACATCATCTGTGGATCACTTAGAAGGGGGAGCTTTGCCCTGGTTGCCCATAGCCTGCTGCCTGCTGGTGTTCTCACCTGGCCTTGATTGTGGGCGACTCTGTGAAGTTCACCATCCACTCCCAGCGAGCTGCCCGGCTGCTGTGGCCCAGGTGATCCCAGCCCTTCTCTGTGTAAGCCACAGTCCCCTGGCCATAAATTGCCACAAAGCTCTGGTCTAAAGGGGGAGACGCGGGTTCTGGGACCAGCTCTACCACCACCTGCCTGGGCAACTTCAGAGCCTTAGTTTCTCCATCTGTTGAAGGCTGATCACTCCTGCCCTGCCTCCCTCCTGGAGGATCCAACAATGTAATAGATGTGAAAGTAGGTATTTGGACCATCCAGTGCTGGGAAACGAATGACCAGTATCAACCATTACCTTGTTTGGGGTGCCTGGAGGGTGCCACTATGTTGTTACTGTGTGCATATGGCTTTCCAGTCCCCAACCAAATCCATGATTTCAGTGTATCCCCAAAGCAGAGGAAGGATTCTCTCTGTTCCATAAAAAGTCAGTCTTTTAGGATTCTTGGACCCAATTCAAACATGGGGCATGGATCCCCCCACAACACCAAGCAATTCGCAGGCACCAGCTGGTGTCCAAGAATTCAACTTAATTCTAACACTGTCTACCTGGAGACAGCATCAGATTCCATGGGTTAAGGGCTCAGTCCTACGAGACTTCCCACCTCACTTCCACACCTCACTTCAGATGCCAGTCACAAGCCCCAGGCTGTTACTTGTGCTGCTGACAGCAGGCTACAAATTGGAGTTTCCAGTGACCTCCTCCTTAGGTTTGATTATTTTGCTAGAGGGGCTCCCAGAACCCCCAGGGTAACACTTATGTTTACCAGTTTATTAAAGGATATGATAAAGGATACCAATCAATAGCCAGATGAAGAAGTGTATTGGGCAAGGTATGGGGAAGGGGTAGGAGCTTCCATGCCCTCTCCAGCTATGCCACTCTCCCCACATCTCCATGTTCACCAACTCAAAAGCTCTCCAAACCCAGTCCTTTGGGTTTTTATGGAGGCTTCATTACATAGTCATGACTGACTAAGTCATTGGCTATTCTCTGGTTCAGCCTCTTTCTTTCTGGGGGATAGGGGTGGGACTGAAAGTTCCAAGCCTTGGGGCACTTCAGGGTGGCTCAATGGATTAAGCATCTGATTCTTGATCTCGGCTCAGGTCTTGATCTCAGGGTCCTGAGTTCAAGGTCTGAGTTGGGCTCTATGCAGGGTATAAAACCTACTGAAAGTTCCAAGCCTCTAATCACATGTTTGGTTCTCCTGGCAACCAGCCCCCCTCATTAGGTTCCCTAAGGGCTTTCTAAGAGTTAACGTATGAACACAACAAAAGTCAGCTTTATCGCCCTTATCCCAGGAAGTTCCAAGGGCTTTAGGAGCTGTGAGCCAGAAACCATGGACAAAGATCAAATACATATGAGAAATATATCTGGGTCATTTGAATGATCAAATATATGTTTCTTATAAATCGCAATATCACAGTCAGTTAAGACATTGCAATGTTGCACAGTGAGGTGCTGGGGCCCCACTCAGGTCAGAATTTCAAAGTTCTTTCCCTCTCTTATCCCCTCCAAATTCCTTTGTCCAGTGAGCACATTTTGAGCACCTCCAGTGTGTCTGGTACTATGCTGGGCATTTCACTTCCCTTACCTCATTTCATTCTCATAACTGCCCCAGGACCTGAATGGTATCTTCACCATAGTACAGATGGGAAAACTGAGACCCAGAAAGGTTAAGGAACCTCTAAGTTTGGGACTGATGCCTGATTCTCTTCTGTGGCCAAGAAGCAGGTGGTGTTTCAGAAGCAGGCACCCATCTGCAGTGATAGTTGTTTTCTCTGGGAGGGAGAGAGTCACTAAGCCTCCCGTGACCTTCCTGCACCCCACACCCAGTGCCACGCATAGGGCACAGGGCCATACCAATTAACCCCTGTGCTTCTCAGGCCGCCACCAAGCAAGTGATGCTGTACTGGCTGCAGCAGCTGCAGATGAAGCGCTGGGAGTTCCACAACAGCCCGCCTGCACCTCCCGTCGCCCCTGATGCCACCCTGGCTGGGAATGGGCCCGCCCTGCGCCTCGAGCTAGGTACCCAATGGGTTCGCCTCCTGCACACACACCCAGGGGTCTTGGTGACCAAGCGTTTCCCCTCCTGTTGGGAGTGAGTGGGAGGAGCCTCTGGTAAAGAAGCAAAGAGCCAGGGATGTGACTCAGGATCAGTTAGGGCACGGTGTAGTGTCAAGGGCAAGAATACGGGCCCTGAGGCCAGGACGTCTGGGTTCAAATCCTAATCCTGTGTGGTCTTAAAAGTCAGTTGCTTGATCTTCCTGAGCTTCCGTTTCCTTCCGTATAAAATGAGCGTGATAAACTATACCTACTTCTTAGGGTTGTTATGAGAATCAAATGAATCCATGCACCTTAAGTGGTTGGAAGCATGCCGCACATTGTCAGAGCGCAGTAAGCGTCAGCTACGGTTACGATGACCGCCATGGGAAGGTCCGAAGAAATGAGACTCTCACGGGGTTGCTGTGCAGAAGGGTAATGAGAACACGCAGTTATTGTTGCTGCCTCCTACACAAATGCTTCTGTGTGTGCGTTGGGTAGGTCAGTGATTTTACCCGTAGTATTCCCTTAAGGCAGAATCCTTCACCTCCACGTGGCCTACAAAGGAAGTTGCTTGATCCCAAATCCTAGAACATCCAAGTATGGAGGAGTCCTGGAGATCACACCCTCCCACCCCCACGCTGCAGCCAGCCATATGGTTGGCAGGTAGAGAATCAGGACAGACCACCCCCAGCTGCCCCTGTAAGGGCTCGGAGCCTTGTCCCAGCTCAGAGCTGCAGCATGTCTGTAACACCTCATCCTCGGTTAGCAGGGAGACCGAATAGGCGAGGGGACGACTTGTAGCCAGGCACCTCTAGAACTCTGTACCCATGTGTTTTCCGTGTCCCAAACCGAGCTCTTCTGCCCTTGACCATCTGCTCCCCCGGTTTCTTTCCCATCGTTAAATGGCCTTTTATTCACCCGGCTGTCCGGTAACAGGGCGCTGCCCTCACCCATTCGGCAGTCTGGGCTGGCCAGGCCGGTCGGTCACCATGTTGGCCGTGTCTGCCCTCTGGCGTCCGCACCAGGCCAGCCCCTCCTCGCTGCTGTACCTTGGCTCTGGCCTCATGGCCCCTGGCTGGAAAACCACAGTAGCCTCCTCACCCGTGCCCGTGAACCGGCCCGCCACCTCAGACCCATCCTCCCCACTGCAGGCCGAGCGGACTTTCTAAAGTGAGCGCTGGAGACCCACCCACCCGTGACCGAGGCCCCGCTTTTTAGCCCGGTGCCCAGGGCTCATCCTCCCTCGGCTCACCTCTGCCTGCTCCCCCAGTGCCCGCCTCACGCCGTGTGCGCTTCAGCAGCACCAGAAGCTTGTCTGCCTGGCAAATTCCCGCTTATTCTTCATAGCCACGCTCCAGTGTCGCCTCCTACTCCTGCCAGGCTCCCCTTGGAAGCCTCCCAGTGCTATGCCGGCTGGACTCTGTATGAGCCCTCGACGCTTTTTTCGCATGGTTCTAACAAGGCCTGTCACGCTGTGTTCTCTTCACAGCATCCTTGTCGGTCCCTGCCCTCGGGTGGGGACCGTATCTTTGTCACTTGTGTCCCAGTACCAGGTGCCCTACCTGGCACATTGGATATTTGTGAGCGATTGCATTGGATTCTATAATTAAATGAGGAAAGGAAGGTAAAGCCCTTAGACTAATGCCAGGCACACAGTAAGTGCTCAATACATAGTAACTGTTCTAGTAACTTGTTGTTATATGTGTATGTGTACATTACTACTCTTAACATAACTGTTCTTTTCAGTTGTTAATAGTAATTATCAGTCATTTCTTCCAAGAACCTTCTGGGTGTTTCATGTGAGTAAGGGCTTTCTCTGGGGAAGGGTTTGTTTGTGCGTCTGCACTTGCAACCCACCCTCTCTCCACCAGAGAGCCAGACAGCCCTGCCTGGTGTGGGAAACTGCAGCCTAAGTTGGCACAATTGGCCGAGATCAGCCTCAGATTTGCAGTGACAAGAAACCCTCCTGATGACAGAATTCTGGTGTGTCCGGAACTGAAATTGGAACTGAAATGGCTTTGGGATCCCACAGGTTCTTCTGCTGTGCTGAATCCTTTCCAGGTTCTTGAATTCTGTGGCTTTGGTTTAGTACATTTAGTGAGCCTCTCCGGGGCCAGCTCCTACTGGAGACGTGGCCAGGGGCCAGGGGGTGGAGGAGGGAGAGAGCAGTTGTCATAATGACCAGGACACCAGTCTCCCAAGGAGGACCCTGGTAGGAGATGCAGGAAGCTGGGATGTGGGCCTTCACCCTCCGGATCATGTCCCCTGCGAACCTTTCCCGGCCCACCCAGAAGGACATTTGTGGAGTTGTGAGCGACCTGGATTTGCTGTCTGGAGCAGGTTGCACACAGCCAGTCCCCACCCTTTCTGGGAGGAAGCAGAGCCGGCTCCGGGACACTGAAAGCCAACTGACTCACATCTGCCTTTGAGTCACAGACACTTCATCTGGTAAAAAGTGTCCTATCACTGCTGTTGAGCAATCTGCAAGGCACGTTGTCTGCAGCTTTTAAGCGTTTACACCTTTATTTTATGCTTTACCTAAACGTTGGTCTCCACAAGAGCTGAGAAAGATCAAGGGCAAACCAGCAGATTAATGATAATATGTTGCCAAAGTAGGACACGATTTACACAAAATAGCACTTAGGTAAGAATATATTGTTGTAAAAATATGCATACCACTGACACTGTTTCTAACACTTTACGTGCTTCTTTCATGTCATCTAATCCTCACATCAATCTTATGAAGTAGTGTCGTACCCATTTTACAGAAGAAGAAACTGAGACCCCCAGAGGCCAGTGGACCTACCTGGTCAAGGTAGCAGAGCAAGAAAATGTCCGCACTGAAATTTGAACCCGAATCTGCAGGCTCATAACCCCCTCCTTATGCTGAGGAGGCCACCGCCATGTCCAGGGCCCTGCAGGGAAGTGACTGTCTGGCCCAGGCCCTTTGGTTGGTCAATGACTTCCTACTGGTGGTGGAGCAGCCCCTGCAGCTCAGGCAAAGCGTTCGGATGAACGCTGCTGAGAATTCCTTGTGCGGCCTTGGAGGGAGGCCCAGAGGCCCCAGACCAATCCTCTTATCCACGGGAAGTGCTAACCTTCACTGTGACATCACTGTCACGTGCCACCCATCTCTCAAACACCTCCTCGCGCTGGGGGCCTTCCCACTGGGCCTTCCCGGGCAGCCCCTCTCATCTGGGAACCGTCCACCTGCCACAAAACCTGCTCTGACAAGCCACGTGGTTTTAGTGGACAAGCAAGGAACTGTGTTTGAGTGCATGACTCTGCTACCGGCTGTGTGACCCTGGCCACGAAAATCCCCCTGAGCCACTGTTTCCTCACTGGCGAATCCAGCCAGTGGGTGACATTCACCCCCAAGGCTTAGTTCGTGTGGCCTCAGGGTGGATTTAGGGCCAAAGGTGGACATTAAAGGAGAACAGATATTGGCAGTTAGGGAAGTACCTGCCAAGACATTAAAAATCTTAGGCAAATTGTACATTTTTTGTTTCTTCTGCATGAGGGAGGATAAAGATGGTTAAAGTATTGATAAACAAGAAAACCGTAATTATTTTGAATCAGCTCAAAGTCTGGATTAAAGACTACTTTTGAAAGATGCAAGTCCACAGAATGGGGCTTTTATGGTTTCCTAAATATTTTGATATACTTTACCTCCGGAGGAGACAGGATGGAGAGTATCCTTCCCATTTTAAAAATGTGGAACCATGCGGTGCCCGAGTGGCTCAGTCAGTTGAGCATCTGACTTCAGCCCAGGTCATGATCTCATCGTTTGTGGGTTCGAGCCCCGCATCCAGCTCTCTGCTGACTGCTCAGAGCCTGGAGCCTGCTTCGGATTCTGTGTCTGCCCCTCCCCAGCTTGCTCGCTCTCTCTGTCTCTCAAAAATAAATAAACATTAAAAAAAAATTTTTTTTTTAATTTAAAAATGTGGAACCTGGGGCCAGAAGAGAAAATGCGATTTCCAGTCTGGTCACAGCACCCTTCTAACAGAAACGTGGATTGGCTTCGGTTCTTCCAACACCACAGCTGTAACCCAGGTTCTTTGGAGCTTTTGCTGAAACCCTCAGGGGTCCCGTGGGTCCAGCCAGATGAGATCCCCTATTAGCCCCCTCCCGCCCATTTGTCCTTCCCAGCCCCATCTCCTCTGTTCCCTCCTGGCATCCTCCTTCACTCCTTTAGCAGTTCAAACTCCTTTCCAGCCCTCTGGGCCCTGCTCCAGTGCCCTTCCCCCAGAAAGCCTTTCCTGACTTGCGGTGAAACAATCTGTCTTCATCTCCCAGAACTCGCCTGCACCTTGCCTGGCCTGCCCTCCAGCTTCTACTCACTTGGTCTTCCTGAAGTGCACACTTCTCCCTGCTCCTTAAGCTGGGAGCTTCCTATGCCTTTGATTATCTAACTTTCTCCAGCTCCACCAGAAACCTCAGGGCAGATGCCAGAAGTGTTTGGTGAGAGAGTGAATTGAAGAGAGGGAGCTCAAAAGAATGACTTGGGCCAAGTCGTGGCCCGGATGTGACAGGGCCTATTAGGAATTAAATATATTGATTGCAAAGTCTGTTTGTGAGTAGATGGAACAGCTCTCCCGCCCCTGCGGTTGTAGTCAATGTTTTTGCACCTGCACCCTGTTTGAAAATGGAGTGCAAAGGTAAAATTCCTTCTTCCCCTACATTTCACCCTCTCAGTAAAAGGGCTCCGGTGGAAGGTGCCTGCTGCCCTCCATGTCTCAGGAGCTGCCTGATCCAGATCCTGCTGCCCAATAGGTGGTCTTAATCCTCCCCTGCTTTTTGTAACACTCAAAACTAACTTCTGAGTATTTCACCTCCTCTCTCTTATACTTCAAATAATGTTACCTTAGCCTCAAAACGTTCCTTAATGTTAAGTGTTTTGAAGCACGCACCGTATAAGAATCGTTGCAGACCATTTACAAAAAGTAGAAAAGTGGAAGAAAAAGTAGCCATAATCCCGTCGCCCAGAGACAGCCAATGTTCACATTACATAATGACCCCCGCTTGCCTTTTATTTAAACGTATTTCAGATCATATAATAATACAAACACCCTACCTTGCTCTACGGTACTACGTATTGTGACCCTAATGCCTCCATGTTATAAAATCTGTTTATAAACTTCTACTTTTGATGAGTATACATTATCTTTCTGTTTATAAAAAATAACGCATGTTTAGCATAGACAATTTGGGCAAAAACACGAAGCGATAATGAAGGCAGCCTGCTTCTGATCCCACCATGCACTTCTGACCTCTGTCCATACCACAGAGTGTATTTCTGTGAGACTTTCTCTACAGTTGCGATCATGATGCTCTAACCCAATTTTTTTACTAGCTGTTTTTATATCCCACACCTGTTCCTCATGATTTTAAGCATTCTTCATTAGTGTTGTTTTAAACGGCTGAGTAATATCCTATTTTCAGAAGGCATCATGATTTGTTTAACCCCTCCCCAGAACTTTACTTCTAGTTTGAGGGAGTTATTTCCAGTGTGAGGACAGACGGTGCCAGGATGAACCTCTTGGCTCATAAAGCTTTGTCTGCATGTCAGGTAACGTTTTTAGGGTAGATTCTCAGATGTAGAAGTATCAGCAGTTCTGCATATTTTAACGAGGTTTTCAGGAAGACTTTCTCAGTAAGATGCATCATTTTCCTGGAAGAACATTTAATGAAAAGCCTGCCTCTTTGGCTGCTCTTAACCTGCCAAAGAAGGCTTGCTCAGGCAGCCCACTGACTCCCACCTGCTCCCAGTGGGAACCCAGCCCAGTGCGCCTCTGTCTCGTATGTACAAGTGCAGCGACCCACGTGGGTGATTACCCTGTTTCTCTGTTCCACAGAGCAAGAGGAAGTGGAGCTGGAGGAGTTCCTGTGCCCTGTGCAAACGCCCCCTGGGCTCGTGGGTGTGGCAGCCGCCTTGCAGCCGGTGCCTGCCATGCCCTTAGCCCTTCAGAATATTTCCCTGAAGCATCTGGGAACCGAAATACAGTAAGTGCAGTGGGACCGAGGGGCCGGCCACGTTGCAGACAGCCCCTTCTTTGGAGCTTACAGTGATCTGGTGTGATCCCTGCAGGGATGTGGTCCTGGGGAGAGGGTGAGGGGCTTTATTTTTAATTCGTCACATCATTTCTTTAAATACTACATTTGTGCTTCTGATTGTTAAAATAGTGCATATTCTTTGTAGGAAATTAGAAACATCTAGAAAGGTATAGGTTTTCAGTTACCCATGATCCTGCCTCCCAGACAGCGTTCTTAGCATGTGGTATATCTCTTTCCTCTTCATTGTCGATACATGTATATGCATAACTGAGATCATATTGAATGTAATGTGATGATCGTGTCACAAGTGTCCTCATATGTGAAACGCATCAAGTTGTTAACTTTTTTTTTTCCAGAGTGATTGTATACGACCTACTTTTTTAAAATTTATTTAAGAGAGAATTTGCACATGCACAGCGGGGGAGGGTCAGAGAGAGAGAGGGAGAGAAGGAATCCCAAGCAGGCTCCGTGCTGCCAATGCAGAACCTGATGTGGAGCTTAAACTCACGAATCCATGAGATCATGACCTGAGTGGAAATCAAAAGTGGCATACTTAACTGACTGAGCCACCCAGGCGCCCCTGCAACCTACTTTTTAAAAATTTTTTACCTGAGTTTCATTTTATTTTTCATCTCGATAAGTGTACTCTTTAATCTCCATCCCCTATTTCACCCATTCCCCTCCCCCCACCCCCCGCTTCTCCCCTCTGGTAACCGTCAGTTTGTTTTCTATAGTTAACAGTCTATTTCTTGGTTTGTCTTTCTCTCTCTTTTTTCCCTTTGCTCATTTGTTTTGTTTCTTAAACATATGAGTGAAATCATATGGCATTTGTCTTTCTCTGACTGATTTATTTCACTTAGCATTATACTCTCTAGCTCCATCCATCTTATTGCAAATGGCAAGACTTCATTCTTCTTATGGCTGAATAATATTCCATTGTGTGTGTGTGTGTGTGTGTGTGTGTGTGTGTGTGTACCGCCTCTCATTTATCCATTCATCTATTGATGGATACTTGGTCTACTTCCGTAATTTGGTAAATAATGTTGCAATAAATATAGGGGTGCATGTATCCCTTTGAATTAATGTTTTTGTATTTTTTTTGGGTAAATACCTAGTAGTGTGATTACTAGATTGTAGGGTAGTTCTATTTTTAATTTCTTGAGGAAACTCTATACTGTCTTCCACAGTGGCTGTACCGGTTTATATTCCCACCAGCAGCACAAGAGGGTTCCTTTTTCTCCACATCCTCACCAACACTTATTTCTTGTGTTTTTTATTTTAGCCATTCTGACAGGCTTGTGAGGTGATATCTTATTGTAATTTTGATTTGCATTTCCCTGATAATCACTGATGTTGAGCATCTTTTCATGTGTCTGTTGGACATCTGGATGTCTTCTTTGGAGAAGTGTCATGTCTTCTGCCATTTTTAATAGGATTATTTGGTTTTGGGGTATTGAGTTGTATCTGTTCTTTATATGTTTTGGATACCAATCCTTTATTGGATATGCCATTTGCAAGTATCTTCTCAAGTACCTTCCATAGGTTGCCTTTTAGTTTTGTTGATTGTTTCCTTCACTGTGCAGAAGCTTTTTGTCTTGATATAGTACCAATAGTTTATTTTTGCTTTTATTTCCCTTGCCTCAGGAGACATATCTAGAAAAATGTTGTTACAGCCAATGTCAGAGAGATTACTGCTTGTGCTCTCTTCAAGGATTTTTATGGTTTCAGGTCTCACATTTAGGTCTTTAATTCAGTGATCCAGTTTCATTCCTTGACATGTAGCAGTCCAGTTTTTCCAACACTATTTGTTGAAGAGACTGTCTTTTTCCCATTGTATACTCATTCATTCTTTGTTGAAGATTAATTGACCATATAACTGTGGGTTTCTTTCTGGGTTTTCTATTCTGTTCCATTGATCTATGTGTCTATTTTTATGCCAGTACCATACTGTTTTAATTGTTGCCACTTTGTAATAAAACTTGAAGTCTGGAATTTCATATCTTTAGTTTTTTTTAATTCAGTTTTAATATGTTTAATTTACTGTATGTTGATCATTTCTCAGCTACTTTTTCATTTATTATTCATGTATTGTATATACAATTTCCCGCTAGCAGGATTTGATTTAAATAGTTTTTAAGAAGATAGTAATATGGCCTGAACTTTAGAGGCTGACTGCATGGATTTGTATCCTGGCTCCACCAGTCATGGGCTGTGCTGTCCTAAGCATCTTGTTTGATTTCTCTGTTTCACTTAAGTTGTTAGTAAAAGTGAATACAATAGTGCTTGCCCTACAAGATTAGTGTGGGAGTTAAATGGGTTAATGCATGCAAACTGCTTTAGAACTGTGCTTAGTACTTTATAAATATTGTTTGCTGCTGTCATAGACTCTGGGTCTAAAGTTCTCTCTTGTCTAGCAAAAAAGCAGGATGTAGGATTAAAGCGAGAGGTGGCTAATGTCTGGGAAAAGACAAGAGCCCCGAATAAGGGTCCTTGCCCCTTTTTTATTAGGATCAGAAGGCTTACAAACATGGCGATGGACGTGCACAAAGGGACAATAACTTGTGGACATGAGGGAAAGGGAGTCTTGAGGATATTTGGGGTGAGGGGTTTGGGTTAATACAAAACAAAATCTGGGTACCAGGAGGAAGGTTGTTTACAGCAGACAGGAGGGTGCACCTCTGTTTATCTTAGCCTAGGGGATGAGACAGGTAGGGGGAGTAACCTCAGGGTTAGTAAGGTACTTCTTTTGTTAACCATCTCCATTCTGGGCTGCTTTGTCTGCAACGCAGTGGTCCATAGTCCAATTCACCGATTTACCTAACTGGCCCTGTTCTCCCGTGAAAGCAGCTTTTCTGCTATAGTACTAAATTGGGGTGCTTCCACCCTGAATATCTAATCTTGTTTATTTCATATACCTATGTATTGGGCATCTTTGCGCCATTCCTATTTTAGGCCTTTGCCTCTCCCTCTCTATTCTGGGGGCTCTGCACCCCCTGTCTATTTTGGGGTGCCTTTGCACCTTCCTATTCCTGGCACCTTTGCACCTTCCTATTCTCAGGGTGCGTTTATACCTTCCTATTCTTGGGGTGCCAGTCTGAGTTGCCCAAACTCAGGATTGAGCGTTTTATGACTTTGTATTTCTTTATGTCTTGTTAACCCATTGGTGTAAGCCCAAGGAATTCCTAAGCTTATCCCCTACATGCTGCTATTACCATTTATCTAACCAAAGAGAAGGAAGCTTTTGGGAATTCATACTGTATCCAATACTGATCTGTTGTGGTGCTTATTTTCTGTGTGGACTTCAGACAGACAGGGATGTCTTAGGAAGCAGACTAGATTGTTCCCTGGACTTGGATTAGAGACCCCTGGCTCTGTGTGGCTCCTTTACAGAATTTCCCTGTCGGCTTCAGCGTTTGAATTCGCTCAAGTAACTAGGAGTGTAGTGATACTGATCCCAGGACAGAAGCAGGTTTTAGGGGAAAGACGGTAAGTGTCCTCTAGGCCTGCTGGCTGGAGGTAAAAGTGGCCCAAGAGACATTTGGATGGAAGGAGCTGGAAACTCAGGAGAGAGATATCAGCTTCAGAGAGAGACTTAGGAGGTGGCATGGGTGAGCCCCCTGGTGTGAGTAGACAAAGAAGGTGGCCTGCAGGGGATTTTCCCTCAGGGGGAGCTGGAGGGAACTGGATGTGCTGGGAGCCTTCTGGGGGGTCGGGGAGGGGTGGCGAGAAGTCCAGCCATCCAGCCAGGGTGTATCCAGGGGGGTCTCACCAAGCTTAAGCCAGATCAGTGCCTGATGAAGGCCACAAACAGCAGAAGTGGAAGAGAGAACATGCAGAGACAGAAGGGAAGGAAGTTTCAGAGGATCAGTTGGTGACTTCCGTCCTGACATTTGTAATAACCCACAGAAAACGTGAGGGAAAAGTGCAAGAAATGGGCTTCTTGCCCTGGGCTGTTGCGAGCCCCCATAAGATTGGGGTTGCTTTTGTCTCCCGCAGCCTGGGCCCTGGCTGTTCTTACAGCTTGCTGTGAGCTCTGCCATGAGCCCGAGTCATACTCTGGGAAAGGAAGTCAGGGTATTCCAGAGCGCTGTGCTAGGTGCGTGGCACTGGCTCTGAGTTGTCTGAACAAGCCTGTGAGGTGGTGTCAGAATGGCTAAGTTCTCAGACCATGGAGTTAGACGTCCAGGTCTAATGCTCAGTCCCTCCGCTCACTGGCTCTATGATTTGGTTACTTATCCTTGCCAAATCTCATTTCTCCTCTCTCTACAATGGAGGTGGTACTAGTACTTCACTGGGCTGTGGGGAGGATTAAATGAGTTGAATTACTAGTGTTAGCTTGGCGTCTGGCCCATGGAAGGGTCCAGTCATTGTCTGTTGTGGACATGTTCCTCATCCCCATTGCAGACAAGGAAAGCCAGCCTCTGGGAGGATAAATGGCTTGCCCAAGGTTATCCTCCCAGAGCAAGTCTTTATGACCGCTCCGCCCATGCTGACCAGGCCCTTCAGACCTGGAGCTAATCCTACACAGAAAACGACCTATGAACTGCTCCATACAAGGTCAATAAATTTATGAAATGGAGATACCTCTTCCAAGTGCAATAGTTCGGCTAGGTAGTGGCCACCTGGGCTGTGTCAGTAGTTAATGAGCATCTATCTCCAGAGGTGATGTGTGCTAGAGCTTAGGAGGCCCTTTGCTGCCCCGGAGTCAGGGTTTCTGTACCCTCCCCTACCCCAGGAATGACTCTTGTGAGCCCCTAGACACATAGGGGAGGCAAGGGGACATGTAGGCAGCAATGATGGTCACCCACCCAGCGAGCGCCTCTGGCTATAGGAATGTGTTCCTGAGTCCTCTCCAATTATGTGGCTGTGATTTGTGAGATGCATGTAATGGGGCTCAGCACAGGACCCAGCACTAAGTGGTACTCAGTAAATAGTGCTCCTCAGGACCACCATTTTCTTTTTAATATGACCACTACCCTTTCATTTGTAGATGAGGAAAGTAAGAACTGGGAAGGGGAGGTGACTAAGTCAAAGAGTCAGAGGCATCTTACAATAGAATCTTAATAACAACAGACAAGAGGGGGCCTGAGTGACTCAGTTGGGCATCTAGCTCTTGATTTTGGCTCACACACTCTCAGTTTGTGGGTTCTAGCCCCTTGTCAGGCTCTGGGCTGATGATGCAGAGCCTGCTTGGGATCTTCTCTCTCCCTCTCTCTCTGTCCCTTTGCTCATGCTCTCTCTCACTCTCTCTCAGAATGAACAAATAAAACTTAATAATAACAACAACAACAGAGCAAAAGCAATCAAAGACCAAATTTCAAAGTCAAGCATTTGGAATGCTGAGTTCTAATTTCTTCTTAGTTCTTAACTTAACAGATTGATTTTCCCTCCATCAGTCAGCTACACTCTCCATTAAAGTACAATTTTCTATCTTATTGTGGACCCAACTATACCAAAAGACTGGATTTTGTTTTAAAAACAAATTTCAGATCAAATGATGGTTCTTTGAAAAGATCAACAAAATTGACAACCCTCTAGCCAGACAGACCAAGAAAAAGACATGAGACTAAAATTACTGAAGTCAGGATCAAAAGATGGAACATTACTACCAAGCTAACAGAAATAAAAAACATTATAAAGGGATACTATGAACAGTTTTATGCCAACAAATGAAGAAAGGGACAAATTCTTAGAAAGACACAAATTACCAAAACCGATGCAAGAGGAAAGAGAAAATCTGAATAGACCTATGCCATGTAAGCAGATTAAATTAATAATAATAATAAAAAAAAAAACTACCCCCCGCCCATACAGACGAAAAACCCTAGGACCAGATAACTTCACTAGTGAATTCTACCAAACATTTAAAAAAAGAACCAATACCAATTCTTCACAAAATCTTCCTTCCAAAAAAGAAGAGGAGGGAACACTTCCCCAATTCATTCTGTCAGGCCAATATTATCTTGATACCAAAACCTAACAAAGATATCACAAGAAAAATTTTTGAATGCCCAAAGCCTTCACCTAGAATTTCCTTGTGTTGATTTTGCCAGCAGGCATGTTTTTTCCTAACTCACCTCATCTTGGGACTCTCAGCTGTATGTAAGAATTTCAATTTCAACTCTGCACTCTGGGTCCAAATGCTTTCTTTCCTCTCGTGCAACAGCCAAGGTTCTAGGCATCTGGAATCAACAGTTGATCTATGAAAAACATCTTGTGGCCATGCGTGGTGATGGATCTTCAATAGACGTATCGTGGTGATAATTTCACACTAGATTGGATAAATCTGTCGTACACCTGAAATGAATGTTATGTGTCTGTCAGTTATATCTCAAAAAAACAAAACAGTTGACCCCAGAGCAAACTCATATCCTAAGTCAATTTTCATAGCAATAATGTTGCAAACACACTTCAGAATTCAGTGTCATATGATCATTTCTCACACATCTGGATTCAGCTGATACAGGCTAGGTTCACTTGGTCTTAACTCTAAGCTGTTGGTAAGATCTAGGTCTACTTTTCGTATTTCTTATCTGCCACAGACCAGCAGCTGCCTGAGACTCGTTCTTGAAGAGGACTAGCCCTATATGCAAGGACGTTTTAAGCCTGTGTTTAGATCACATCTGCTAACCTCCCTTTGGCCAAAGCAAATCACATGCCTTGCCTGAGCCCACAGGAGAGGGAAGAAGTACTCTGCTCCTGCGGAGGTGGTGGGAAAGGAGTGAATGTTTGCTGAGGACTAATCTAATCTACATAGTCACCTTCTCACTTGAATTCACGTTTAGGCCCCAAGAATTTCCCTTCCTTTCTTGGAAATTTAGCTAAATGTTTTTGAAATATGCTTGGTGTTTACCTAGCATCTAGGTGTTTGTGAATAAGGGTTTTTCAGGGTAATTTTTCCATCTTACTGCTAGAAGTATATGTTGTACATAGAGATGACAGCAGAGCCAGGACTCCATCACAGATCTGTAACCTTCATGTCCCCTTCTTTTTTGACCACGCTATTGCTGCCTTTTAAGTAAATGACCCCCTAGTGCATTGTTTTCAAACTGTGAGTTTTATAGCTCAGTACACATATATAGCTCAGTAAAACTTACAAAATATTAACTCTTTCAAAGTGAGGTGCATTCTGATATTTTCCATTCCATATTTTAAATGCTGGTTATGATACTAAAATGATTTTATAATCTACTAATAGTTCAGAACCTGCCATTCAGAAACACTGACCTGGTGAACTCTTTTAATCATTTTCTCTTCCTTGTTAATTTTGGAATATGTTGGGGCACCTGGGTGGCTCAGTCAGTTAAGTGTCTGACTCTTGATTTCAGCTCAGGTCATGATCTCACAGTCATGGGACTGAGCCCCACATCAGGCTCTGTGCTGAGTGTGGAACCTGCTTGGGATTCTCTCTCTCTTCTCTCTCTCTGCCTCTCCCCTGCTCACATTCTCTCCCTCTCAAAAAAAAAAAAAATTTTTGGAATACATCTACTTTTGTATCTTTGCAAAGGGAAAATAAACTCAGTTGAATGTCCTTTTATCTGCCTCATTATGAATTTTTCTGTGGCTGTTGGTCCTAGGCCAGCCTTTGGTGCTACCTAGTTCCCTCCTACAAACCCAAGTGTATTGAGCCTGCACACTGGGCATGTGCAGCCCAGTACCAGGTGCCACAGACATGCAGGTAGGTTACTGTCCAGCTCTTGAAGAAATGACACCATTATTCAGCCTAGACAAGTACTTGGTCAAAGGGTAGCCCATTCACAAAGTGCAGTAAACTCCTTGGAGACCAGATGATTAGTGAAGGCCTCAAGGGAGAACAGATCTAAGTGGGGAAAGAGTGCAAGGGGAGAAGGATCCAGGAGCAGTTTGGAACTTTGCTCAGCAGAAGTAGGGAGCTACTGATGATTTTTGAGCAAGTAGTTATAAAACCAGATGAAAGTTTCAGGAAGTTCCTTTGGCAAGTTCATTCAGCATTCATTCAGCACATATACTGTAAGCGCCCTCAATGCTGCAGGCGCTATGCTAGGCATGCATGGGGGCGCCTGGGTGGCTCAGTCTGTTGAGCGTCTGACTCTTGATTTCAGCTCAGGTCATGATCTCACAGTTCGTGGGATCGAACCCCGTGTTGGGTTCTGCACTGACAGTGCAGAGTCTCCTTGGGATTCTCTCTCTCTCTCCCTCTCTCTGCCCCTCCCCTTCCTGTGCCCCTCCCCTGCCCATATTCATGCACATGCACACGTGTGCTCTCTCTCTCTCCCAAACATAAATAAACTCAAAAAACACAAAATATTACAGGACACCTGGGTGGCTCAGTCAGTTGAGCATCCTACTTTGGCTCAGGTCAAGATCTCATGGTTCATGAGTTTGAGCCCTGGGCTCTGTGCTGACAGCTCAGAGTCTGGAGCCTGCTTTGGATTCTGTGTCTCCCTCTCTCTCTGGCCCTCCCCTGCTCACGGTCTGTCTCTCTCTGTCTCTCAAAAATAAATAAACATTTAAAAAACACACACACAAAAACACAAAATATCTTAATGAACAGAACAGGCAAACATCCCTGCACTCAAGAGAACTTACACTCCAGCAGTGGGTTTGGGGGTGGGGGAATCAAGCTTCTGTTATTAGCAATATCATGTGTGGAAGGCGGGAAGTACAATGAGAACATGAAAAGACGGGCGAGGCGGGTGGGGAGCGCTCGGGCGGGATGCATCCAGGGTGCCTGGAGTGTGGCAGACCGCTCCGGGCATGACTGGGGCTGAGGATGGCAGCCTCATGCTCCTCTGTTTTCCTTTCAGAAACACGATGTACAATATTCGGGGCAACAGGCAGGCCTCAGGAACAGGCCACGGACCTCCAGGGGAAGATTCTCCACTGAGCGGGGAGCCTCCGAGGGCGGAGCAGCCTTTGCCCTCTGACCCCAGCACCCCAGGTGAGCTCTGCCCAGGTTTGAGCTGGGCCTTTAGAGGCCAAGCGAGTGCCCTCTTTCCTCCCCCAAAACCAACATCTACGCTTGTGTGTGTCCAATAGGACACTCTCCGGGTCACTCCTTGTTTCTATGGGTCTGGTAGCAGTGACTCCTTTTTTTAGTAATAGCGTTGTGGTAAAATATACATAAAATTTACCACATTAACCCATTTTAAGTGTATAGTGCAGTAGCATTATGCACACTCACGTCGACCACTGCCATCACCCACCTCCAGAACTCTTCCCCGTCTTCCCAAACTGACACTCCTGCAGTGATTCTTAAAGTAATGAAAATATCTCTCACTTCTTCTTTCTTACTTTTTTTAATTTATAAGGAAAGGATATGAAAATGCCTGTGTGGGCTGAGCAAAATCAGATCTCTGCCTGAAGAAGCAGAGCAGATGACCTCTGCGTGTCTATCCCGGCTCCTCCATAGCACTTAATTATTGCACAAAATGTGAGTGGCCCACACCGCCGTGGGGGTTGGGCTTCTTTTGCAATTAGCATGGGTGCCCCCCCACCCAAGACATACTGTAACCTAGAAATGGAAGAAAACCAGCTGAGGCAGCCCTGTGGGGGCTTCTGGCAGGGGGGACCCCTGCCCTGTGGAGCAGTGCCTCCAGAGAAATCTCCCCTTTGGAGCAGCGTCTCGTGAGGCCGCGCAGGTCATGTGAACAGTCTGAGAGGGGACCGGTGCTCTCTCAAATCAACGGTAATAAAACCAGCACCCACATCTAGCACCTACTCTGTGCCAGGGCTACTCTAAGCACTTTTTTCCCTTTGGTAATGGTTTTATTAAGAGATAATTCACATATCAGACAATTCACCCATTCGAAGTATACAGTTCGCCATAATCTATTTTACTTTATTTTTTAAAGTTTATTTATTTATTTTGAAAGACAGACAGGAAGAGCATGAATGGGGTGGGACAGAGAGAGAGACAGAGAAAGAGAATCCCAAGCAGGCTCTGCACTGTCAGCATGGAGCTCGATGCTGGCCTCAAACCCATGAACCATAAGATCATGACCTGAGTGGAACTCAAGAGTCAGAGGCTTCACTGACTGAGCCAGCCAGGCGCCCCTCACCATAATCAATTTTAGAGCATGCTTATTATCCCAACAAGAAACCTTGCATTCTCCAGCTCTAGGCAACTACCGTTCGACTTTCTGTCTCTGTAGATTTGCCTGCTCTGGATCGTTCATATAAATGGAATCTGAAATATCTGGTCCTTCAGGACTGGCTCCTGTCACTTACCAGAATCTTCTTCCACGTGCACTGAGCACCTGCATTAACCTCTTTAACCCTTCCAACATCCTGAGCGGTTACTAGATACCATTGTTGTTCTCGTTTACTAAATGAGGGAACTGAGGATGGAAAAGTGGAGTGACTCACTCATGGCCGCATAGTGGGTGCAGAACTAGGGTTCAGGTCCAGCACTCTGGCCCCATACCACCACCTCAAGCCTCATTTTCTAAAGCGGTGATTTTTCAGACTACATTTTTCTCGCCATGACTCCTTGACCCCTATAAACAAAATCTAATATACAATGCAGACCCCAGCAGACTTGAGGCAGAGGTGGGAGTCTGGGCTCCCCTTGGCTCCCCACCCGTCCCTCCCAGTCAGCTCTGCCACACTCCCATGAAATCCTACAGCACTGATTGAAAAACCACCCTCCTGGGCCTCATTTTCTCCAACTGTGAAATGGGCATAGTGACCCCTACCTTGCCTGCCCTCAGGGTGAGTGGGCAGTATTGTTATCAGAGGGCAACAGGGCTACAGCGAGCCCCCCTGCTCTTCTATACCCCGTGGCAGGAAAGAGAAAGAGGCACTGCATTTTTCGGAGCTCTGCAGTCTGTTGTACGCAGTGCAACCAGATTTCTTTCAAGTCTAGAACAAGACCATTCTGTTCTTGTACCCAACAAGGTCAGGGAGTTTCTGGTTCCCGTCACCTACTCGAGCAGTTTTTTTATCTGTTCAAGATTGTTTGGCTGGCCCCAGAAGAAACGTGGTAAATTATTCGGCTCATCCTCTAAGCCCTCACCTGGGATCCCATACCACGTCCTTATATTTAACACACTAGTCCCAAAAGGATCGGGGATAGCTTATTAAAATACACATCAGGGTAAAGAAAATGAGTCATCTGGGTTAGGAAATTTAAATAAGATCAAGATATCCTATAGAGGAGCAAAGAGTGGGCAGCAGTGTGTCTGAGCTTCTCAGCAGCCAAGGCAAAGAGGGAAATGCAAGTGTTAGATGATTTCCAGCATCCCTAAGAATAAACATATATTTTCTTGGAAGAAGCAAACCTTTTCTGGCACTGAGAGCTGTGGATGGCTCAGTTGGTAGAGCATCCGACTTCAGCTCGGGTCATGATCTCACCATTCGTGAGTTCGAGCCCCACACTGGGCTCGCTGCTGTCAGCACAGAGCCTGCTTCAGATCCTCTGTCCCTCTCTCTCTGCCCTGTCCCTCTCTCTCTGTCCCTTTTCTGCTTGCAC